ATCAGGGCGCACACGGGCGCAGAGGGCCAAGAGGGCGCAGCTGGGTCTGTGGGCGCTGAGCACAGCCATAGCCCGGCCATAGCCAGGCTTGCTGACCGGAGGTCAGTAGGGGCGATGGTGGCCTTCCGGGGCCGGGGATGCATGCTGTGGAGGATACAGGGGTGAGGGGAGGAAGGGAGACAGTGTCACACACCTGGTGTATGATGGCAACCTGCATGATTGGCGATGTCGTCAAACGCGGTTGGATAAATAAAATAAGTCGTGTCCATCTCGCTGCGGACTACTGCAGCGTCTCCTTCGCTATCGCGCCTGAGAGAACAAACAGTACACTGGTCTTCACCTTGAAGTGACTCCCGTTGCACATACGTAGTGTAGGCTAGTATAGTAGCTGAGTAGGATAGGGGGGCTGGGCGCTGAGCGCTGAGCGCTGATCAAGAAGAGCGACATTGGATGCTTTGTTCGTGTGGAGAGAGAGAGAGAGAGATCGTTGACATTCACATTTGAGTTCATATTTGTATTGCTCTTATCTTGCTTGTATTTGGGTGCATTGTGCTTTCCGCTTGGTACAGGACTATCTGGTCCCCAGGGTGATATTGCAATCTGGTTCTCCGTCTGTCGCGCTCGCTCATTTTCCTTGCAATAGCTTGTATGGCAGGACTTTCACATACCTCAACAGTTGCTGTATTGTCCATGATTTATAAGGGACGATGGACCCAGTTTCCAGCAGGTGACGCTCCCCACCAATAGATCGAGCCACCAACCTGGGGGTCACTTTAGGGGAATGCTCCCTCTTGACGTTGTTTTTCGTTTTCTTTTTATTTTAAGAAAAAAGAAAGGTTGAGCATAGCTAATATTATTAGCTTCTTTGGCCTTCTGCGGCAGTTGGGCCTTGTGTGGCATCCGTGCTTGGTGTCGGCCTTGTGCGTCGACACTTTGCGAGCTTCTCTGCACAGCCAACCGATATTTAATATGCCCTCAGCTGCAGGCGTCACTCTTTCTGCCGGAATCACTACAATGCAAGGGTTTCTGCAGCCATGCGTGAAGAGAGAGGGATGTCCCTCCTTTCATACCATCTTCAGCCGAATAGAACGGCCGGTCACTTTGTTTGCTGAAAACATCTTTTTGTTTGCCGAGCGGAAGATTGCCAGACACACAGGGTTCTGTTATTGCCGCTTTGGGCTTAATTTGGTTGTAATTTTTTTTTCTTTTTTTTCTTTTACCACACTCTCATGTATGTAGCCATCTGGGGTGACCACATTCAAATATGCACACAGTACAGATCCACAGGGACGAGGTTTCTCGGTTCGTTCTAATGCATCCACCCTGAAAAGTGACTACCTCCATTCATACCAAGCACGCAAATCCTTCGAGTGTCCTCCTCATAAGCACCATCTCCGCCAGCGGTCAGAGTCTGTGATCCCGAATGGGGACACTGAATCATGAGGGGGCGGCATTTTGGTTTTAATTTTTCATTCCAAACGCGATAAAACTTCACACTTTGGATTGCTTAAAAATTGCAACAACGAAATTTCCACTCACGAAAACCATTTTTTTTAATCGCAGAAAAAAAGTGCGTAATGAACCCAGTCTCGTCAAATAATCATGTCGTCAAACAGCAATGACGTG